CATTGTATGTGTTGAATTATAAATTAAATTATATAAGCTTACCCTTTCGTTTTTCCTTGTGTTGTCCCTCGTTTATGTACGTTCGTCTTGTCTTGCAATGATCATCCGTTGTGGATGTGAGCAGAGGGCGAAGCAACCTTGGAGGAGGTGATCCAAGAAGAGAACTTAGTTGAAGTGGAAGTGAAAACGGAGCAGTAGGACGTCCGTCTTTCATCCTTAGTTTAGTCGTTTATTTCTGAATTGGACGTTCGGTTACTTTTCTTTTTGTAAAATCGTTCGTCCTTATCTATTGTAATTCTGTACTTAAGCCGTTCGGCTTTTAAACTCTGATTATTTAAAGACTGCATTGTTATCTATTAATTGTAATTAATTCTGACTTATGGTAATTACTGTATTTTGGGATGTTACATTAGTGGTATCAGAGCAGTTTTGTTCTATTAAAGGACACTGTAGGTTATGAGTACACTATGTTTTTGCTGTGTGCTTGATATATGTTTAAATGAGTTATTTTATTTAACTCTTTGAAGCATAACTAACGCTCATTTTCTCTGGACCAGAGAACAAATGGCTCCTAGACTCCCTCCTCCTCCTCAACCTAATGAATCTGATACGTCCAACAACAACCGGTTGCTGGAATCTGTGATTGAAAGACTGCAGCAGCAGAATACCACGTTAATGGAGCAGAACGCCACTTTGATGCAGCAAAATCAGAACGCTATGCAGAGTATGGAGATCGCACGCGCCAACTCTGAAGCAACTCAGAGGCAGTTAATGGATATTCTTGCTGCTACCAGAGGCACGCTAGGAGCGTCCTCTTCTAACGCTGCCCAACCTGCTGCTGAATGGAGTTTGGAGAGTTTTCTCCAACACCACCCGGCTAAATTCAGTGGTAAAGGCCTCCCTGACGAGGCAGACCAGTGGTTAAGGGACATGGAAAGGATCTTCAACGCCAAGAGGTGTCCAGATGAGAACCGTTTGGCGTTCACGGAGTATTTGTTGACGGGGGAAGCAAGCCACTGGTGGGCAAGCACAAGAGCTATTCTGGCAGACGCTCAACGTCCTATCACTTGGGAAGTATTCCGTGGCAAGTTTTATGAAGAGTACTTCCCTGACAGCGTCCGGTTTGCCAAGGAAGTGGAATTTTTACAGCTGGTTCAAGGTGGGATGTCAGTTTCTGAGTATACCAACAAGTTCAAGCACCTTGTTCGGTTCAATGCGATGGCCACCAGTGAAGAGTGGCAGTGCAGGAAGTTTGAGAACGGACTGTGGAGTGATTTGAAGGTATTAATCTCCAGTTTGTGCATCCGGTCGTTTCCTGCTATGGTTGAGCGGGCAAAGGTCTTGGAGAAAAATATGGCAGAGGCGGAACGGCAGAAGAAGCAACAACAAGTGAGTAGGGGACCGATCGTGTCCAGGGGAGGTATGGTTCAGAGGAGACTACCTTACGCTCGTCCAAATCAACCCTCTACTGCAAGCGGGTCACAAGCAATGGTTCCTGTCGGACAGTCTGGACAAGGAAATGTTGTTTGTTTCCGGTGTGGAGGGCCACATTATCGTTCTTCATGCCCTCAGCTTGTAGGAGGAAAGCACTGCAACCGTTGTGGAAGGAATGGACACTCGGATAACGAGTGCAACATGAGTGGACGTGCAGTGATGAGACCACCTAATGCTGGAAGGAACCAACCGAGAGGAGGTAGAGCACAAGCAGTGGGGCGCGTATATGCTATAACTGGAGCGGAAGCAGCAAACTCAGGTAACCTTATAACCGGTGAATGCTTGATGTATGGAGTGTCTTGTCGTGTGCTGTTTGATTCGGGGGCGACTCACTCCTTCATCTCGAAGGCGTGTGTTGAAAAATTGGGAGTAGTTGAGAGAGATATGCAGTTCGACCTGGTGGTGTCAACCCCAGCGGCGGGAGAGATTAGGACGTCTACCGTATGCATTAGATGTCCTATTGAGGTTGAGGGGCGTAGTTACAAGGTGAATTTAATCTGTTTGCCTTTGAAGGATTTAGAAGTGATTTTAGGAATGGATTGGTTGGTTGCTAATCGCATTCTTATAGATTGTGGGGCGAAGGAATTAATCTTTCCTAGTGAAGAAGAAGAGAAATTGTCAGTGACGCTCGGTCAGTTGAAAGAAGATATTATGGAGGGCGCCAGCTGTTTTCTCATCATGACACACGAAGACAGGGAGGTTCGGAATGCGAATAATGAACGATCGTCTAAGAAAAAGATTGAAGGACGATCGGTTGTGGACGAATTTCCAGACGTCTTTCCGGAAGAGATACCTGGACTTCCCCCTCACCGTGAAGTTGAATT